CAGTCACAGTTTTTCCTATGCTGAACATAGATTCAGTATTATGGGAGTTTTGTAACTTTTGTGGAGGATCTGCTGATGGTCCCTACTTAGTGTCGTTATATTATTTCCCAGTTCCTGATTCTGTGTCGCAGTTGCTTGATATTGCATTGCTATTGGGCTTAGCATTCTTTGTTGTTCAAGCAGACTGTTCGGGTTGCCGGTCGGTCACGAAGTTAGTTTATTTGAGGACTTTGTCAGTCACTTGTTTAAGTCTTATTCGAGTCTTGAGACATAGCTAACTACCTAAGAGCACTTACACGCATACACACTTGTACATATTTGTAATATCTTATTAAATGTTAATGTACCAGACGGTACTTAAGAATTATAAATGTGATATGTGCTTTCAGCACAATAATATTGAACTCGAGAGATTGATTTTATTTTGATTGCTGTGATTTAATTTACTTTGATAATATACCTCTAGACAACTTACTACTTAATAAATTTATTAAATTTTAATTTCTCTAGTTAGTAGCCTACCAGTTGTAATCCTGAAGCTCTATTGAATAATACTGATTTATAATGGATAATTGGACAAGGATACTGACTACTTGTTACGAAAACCCAGTAACAGGCTGGATGCTAGAAGGGCAGTCCTTCCTAGTATTACCTGGAGATCTCTAAGCTTTTAGAATCGCGTTTTTTGTAACAGAAGGCAAACCCTGTGTCACAAACCTTCTGGAGTTTTATGACAAGGTAATAGAAGCAAGACAAAAGAGAGGTGTAGGTTGATTGCATTTTCCTGGACTGCAGGAAGGCCTTCGACATGGTTCTTCACAAAAGATTAGTGCAGAAGCTGGAGGATCAGGCATGTATAACAGGAAGGGCACTGCAATGGATCAGAGAATACATGACAGGGAGGCAACAATGAGTCTTGTTATGGGATGAGGAATCACAATGGGTGCCTGTGATGACCGGGATCCCACAGGGGTCAGTCCTAGGACCAGTGCTATTTTTGGCATATGTGAATGACATGATGGAAGGGATAGACTCAGAAGTGTCCCCGTTCACAGATGATGTGAAGTTAATAGGAAAATTAAATCAGATGAGGATCAGGCAAGACTACAAAGAGACCTGGACAGGTTGAACAGGTGGTCCAGCAACTGGCTCCTTGAATTCAACCCCGTCAAGTGCAAAGTCATGAAGATTGGGGAAGGGCAAAGAAGACCACAGACAGAGTATAGGCTAGGTGGCCAAAGACTGCAAACCTCACTCAAGGAGAATGATCTTGTGGCGAGCATAACACCGAGCACGTCTCCGGAAGCACACATCAACCAGATAACTGCTGCAGCATATGGGAGCCTGGCAAACCTGAGAACAGCGTTCTGATACCTTAGTAAGGAATCGTTCAAGATGCTGTACACTGTGTATGTTAGGCCCATACTGGAATATGCAGCACCAGTTTGGAACCCACACCTGGTCAAGTACGTCAAGAAATCAGAGAAAGTGCAAAGGTTTGCAATAAGGTTAGTTCCGGAGCTCAGGGGAATGTCCTACGAAGATAGGTTGAGGGAAATTGGCCTGATGACACTGGAGGACAGGAGGGTCAGGGAAGACATGATCACAACATGCAAAATACTGCGTGGGATAGACAAAGTGGATAGAGACAGGATGTTCCAGAGAGGGGACACAGAAACAAGGGGTCACAATTGGAAGCTGAAGACTCAGACGAGTCACAGGGATGTTAGGAAGTATTTCTTCAGTCACAGAGTTGTCAGGAAGTGGAATAGTCTAGCAAGTGATGTAGTGGAGACAGGAACCATACATAGTTTTAAGATGAGGTTTGACAAAGCTCAGGGAGCAGAGAGAGGACCCAGTAGCGTTCAGTGAAGAGGCGGGACCAGGAGCTGAGTCTCGACCCCTACAATCACAATTAGGCGAGTACATCCACACACACACACACACACACACACACACACACACGGATTTTCTTTGTTCTTAATAGTCGTTGTTCTTCATTTCCTCATATCTCCATGAGGAAGTGGAAAAGAATTATTCCTCCGTAAGCCATGCGTGTTATAAGAGGCGACTAAAATGCCAGGAGCAAGGGCCTAGTAACCCCTTCTCCTGTATAAATTACTTCTTTCTTTCAACACACTGGCCATATCCCACCAAGGCAGGGTGGCCCAAAAGGAAAAATGAAAGTTTCTCCTTTTACATTTTGTAATATATACAGGAGAAGAGGTTACCAGCCCCTTGCTCCCGGCATTTTAGTCGCCTCTTACAACACGCATGGCTTACGGAGGAAGAATTCTGTTCCACTTCCCCATGGAGATAAGAGGAAATAAACAAGAACTAGAAAGAAAATAGAAGAAAACCCAGATGGGTGTGTATATATATGCTTGTACATGTATGTGTAGTGTGACCTAAGTGTAAGTAGAAGTAGCAAGATGTACCTGAAATCTTGCATGTTTATGAGACAGAAAAAAAGGACACCAGCAATTCTACCATCATGTAAAACAATTACAGGCTTCCATTTTACACTCACTTGGCAGGATGGTAGTACCTCCCTGGGGGGTTGCTGTCTACCAACCCACTACCTAGGATAAAAGAAGTCTCCGTCAGGAGTCGAACCTGAGTCTGCCGTTTTAAAGACTGACAGCTGCTCCTCGAAGCCATTGTCTTCAGCTAAATTTACTAAATTTAGTAATTTATAACTTTTTCTTTTTAGGTCACCCTGTCTCAGTGGGATACAGCCGGTGTATTGAAAAAAGTGTATATTAATTAATTTGTTACAATAAACATAATAAAATTATCATTTCCCTTGCATTTTCAACAATAAAAATAGCAGTCTATAGGGAAGAGTGGGTGGGATGCTTGCACCACCACCACTCACACATGTCCTAGTTTCTTTATTACAAAATACATACTATAAGTATGCCAGTCTAGGTAGTAGGTTGGTAGACAGCAACCACCCAGGGAGGTACTACCGTCCTGTCAAGTGAGTATAAAATGGAAGCCTGTAACTGTTTTACATGATGGTAGGATTGCTGGTGTCTTTTTATTCTCTCATACACATGCAAGATTTCAGGTACGTCTTACTACTTCTACTTACACTTAGGTCACACTACACATACATGTACAAACATATACGTATATACACACCCCTCTGGGTTTTCTTCTATTTTCTTTCTACTTCTTGTTCTTGAATATTTCCTCTTACCTTCATGGGGAAGTGGAACAGAATTCTTCCTCCGTAAGCCATGCATGTTGTAAGAGGCAACTAAAATGCCAGGAGCAAGGGGCTAGTAACCTCTTCTCCTGTATATATTACTAAATGTAAAAGGAGAAACTTTTGTTTTTCCTTTTGGGCCACCCCGCCTCGGTGGGATACGGCTGGTGTGTTGAAAGAAAGAAGAAAAGGAAAAACTTTCATTTTTCCTTTTGAGCCACCCCGCCTCAGTGGGATACGGCCGGTGTGTTGAAAGAAAAGAAGAAAGAAGTATGCCAGCTAAACTGATGTGCAAATATATATGAAGTAGGTACTGTGTACACATTACATTCAGGCTCTCTTCATCTTGTATTAATGTTGGTAGAATTACTGACAATATGTTGAGTAAAAAACAACGAATGCAACTAATGTGACATTTTAATGTGGCAATGTTTCGCTCTCCAGGAGCTTTATCAAGTGAAATGTTGCCACAATAAAATGTCACATTAGTTGCACTTGTGTCCTTTCCTTTCATCTTTTAACCTTTATTATGCAAAGGAAGATAAGCAGAGTGTATATAAACACTGGAAGAGTCCCTCTCCTGGACAGGTGCAGCTCATGTCTGCCCTTTCAATTTGTATATAGACATTGTCTTCAGCACACTCACATTTGAGCACAGATGATGCAAATGATATGAAAATGCTGCATGTAATTACTGGTAGGCAGAAATCAACTGATTAAGTAAATAAACAAAGAATTACTATAACTAAATAACAGCACTGAACAGTAAATAAATGAGATGTTTATGCTCACAACTGCTGCAGAGCCTGAGAGCTCAGTATGGCTTCCATTGCAGGAATGTGCATAGCTATCGCACCATTGTAAAGTCGAAATATCATAAGTCAAACCATCATAAAGTGAGGAGCACCTGTATACTTTCATAACATTCTCTACATTATCAGTAATTGTTATTTTATCATTGTCAGTTGACAGGCAAAACCATATAACAAGCACATTCTACAAATGTACAAACCTTTACTTACCTGCCATGTCAAGAGAATTTGCATGTCTTACATCAGCTTGTTTATTACATTAAAGTCTATCTACTATACAAGGGTCATTTCCATGTTGCCTGTACACCATGTCAAGGATACTTTAATCCTCAAATTAAAGATAACTTTCATAGTGTGTGTATGTAAACAGAGAAATACACCTCTAATAAGAAAGCTATTTACACTGAATATAATGAGACTCTTCATACATTCTCACACCTTTTCTGTCTTAATGAGATGCAATCAATGACCACTAATACATTATCCCAGGACTGAAACATATCCAATAGAGATGACAGTGTATGCACTTGTGTCCTCTCATTCTTATCAGTATCACGAAACATCATCATCTACGTTTGAAGATTTAAATAGCCAGCAGGGAGAGGTAGAATGTGTGTGCAAAGTAACTCTTTATAGACCTGGGTATCTTGTATAATTATAATTTTTGCACACTCAGGATAATAAACAAAACTTGTTCAAAAGTCATTTGTATAAGTGTATACTATATGGATGTTTATGACATTCATTTTGAATAATAAACTAAGTGCATATGGTTATTTTTCTAAATGGGTTCAGGCAATCACACACCTTGTGACTTTGTAAATGGTCCAAGACGGACCAAACGTCGTCATAAGCTCCTCTCTTCTATGTGCGGGTTATTTGTGCACCTGTGTATAATATACAGTAATACAGGATTAAAATTTTACAACAAAAGAGTTAATTAAAGTTTTGTGAACATTAAACCATACAGTACTGAACACATGGATCAGCTTGGTTCAGCAGCTTAAGACCAGCACGTAGCTTAGGCAAATCTCTAGGGTCATGTGGTTCAACTGCAACTCTTAAAATGGGGTTAACACTCATTGTGAGCTCTGTGAAGGGCGACATGGCTAGTGAGGATGAAAGTGTGGCACTCTTGATGACAGTGTCTTCCAGCCCAGTTATGCCCACTACTGTACCAGCAGCAGCACATTCCAAAAGCTCGTACTCTCGGCCCAACAACAGGTAAATTCCAGATATCTGTAGTGGGTAAAATGAAAATGTGCACATAAATTAGGCTCCTTTTCAGGTTGCTTGTAAATGCTTAAAATTATTCTAGATCAAATTACCTTATTTCTTAACTTTTGTGATGTTCAAGCATATACAGTGACATCTCAGCTTAATGGACCTGAATTTAATGGATTTCAGAAGCAATGGTCTAAAAATCTGGTTGGACAAATGCCAAAATGGAGAAAGTCCATTGGATCCTGATTTTTTGTCTCTTTGTGGTAGTGTCCCCAGTGATGCATCCAGTAGTCTACAGAACCAACTGACCAAATGTGTTGACCCCAGTATTTGTCCAATATGGGCCAAAGCATCTGCATCCAGGACCTGTCATTTTCATTGTTTCTCAAGGTTCATATAGGTTGCCAGTATCAGTTTATTGTCTGTGTTCAATCACACACTCGTCATTCTAAAATTTTCCCTGAATTTAGTGTGCTTTTTGTGATTATTGGCATATTAAATACAGTGCTATTAACAATGTCCTCTACAGCAAGTGGTGGTGCCATAAGGAAATGTTAATTTGAGTGTTAAGAAGAAACTCGAATTAATCAGGAAGGATGAGCTTGGTTTCTCAGTGTCACGTGTATGTGAAAAATATAGTGTTAGGAAACAGTATCTAATATCTGTAGAGGCAAGAGCAAACTTATAGAGCAAATAAATAAAAAAAATTAACAGTTAACCCTAGAAAGCACAAGAGAATGCCCAAGATCAATTTTTTAAAGAAGCAGTACATAAATGGTGTTTTAACACTAATAGAACGTTGGTGTTAACATTTTGTGATGTTGATCTTTGCTCTACTGCTAATAGGCTAGCAAAGTATGAACAAAGAATTTTCAGACAAGTGATGGTTGCTTATCAGTATAATAAGAAATGAATGCTCTGATCCAAGAAATAGCAAATAGTGTGACTGCAAGTATACCATTTGACTTTTGGTTCAATAACACTAATTCATAGTAATATATACTGGTAAATGGAAAACCCAAAATTTATGTAGCATTAATGCTGAAAAATTTCACACCTGAGAATTAGCAACTAAATACAGTTACTGAATACTAATGATTGTATTAAACACACAGTGCCTATTATGCCAATTAAGTATGTATCTACATGTTTTAAGCTACACTTAAAACTACAGTGCTAATATAATTCAATGTTGATAAATGCTCACTATGTCCCAACCAATATAACTCAAGAATTTTATTTATTTATTTTTTATTAACACAGCATCCATTTCAAACCGAGGCAGGGTTACCCAAAAAAGAAGAAACACTTTCATCATCACTCACTCCATCACTCTTGCCAGAGGCATGCCTATACTACAGTTAAAAACTGCAATATATCAACACCCCCCTCCCTCAGAGTGCAGGCACTCTGACTCTAGGACTCAAGTCTGGCCAACTGGTTTCACTGAATCCTTACATCAATGTTACCTTGCTTACACTCCAACAGCACGTCAAGTCATAAAAACCATTCATCTCCACTCATTCCTATCTAAAGAGCTCACACATGCTTGCTGGAAGTCCAAGCCCCTCATACACAAAACCTCTTTTACCCCTCCCTCCAACCTTTCCTAGGATGACCCTAACCCCACCTTCCCTCTCACTACAGATTTATATGGGAGAGATACATGATTATATACACTTGGAAAATCCTTGAGAAATTAGTACCAAACTTGCACACGAAAATCACTCCCTATGAAAGCAAAAGACTTGGCAGACGATGCTATATCCCCCTAATGAGAAGCAGGGGTGCCAATAGCATGATATGAGACAACACAATCAGTGTCAGGGGCCCAAGACTGTTCAACTGCCTCCCAGCATACATAAGGGGGATTACCAATAGACCCTTGGCTGTCTTCAAGAAGGCACTGGACAGGCACCTAAAGTCAGTACCTGACCAGCCGGGCTGTGGTTCGTATGTCGGGTTGTGTGCGGCCAACAGTAACAGTCTGGTTGATCAGGCCCTGATCCACCATGAGGCCTGGTCATGGACAGGGCCACGGGGGCGTTGACCCCCAATACCCTCTCCAGGTATACTCCAGGTAAGTCATTCTATTTTGTTCCACACTCTGTAAATGTGCAAACACCTCAACAACCCCCTTCTCAGCCCTCTGAATATTTTAAGAAACCCCACACCTCTTCCTAATCTCCAAGCTACAAATTCCCTGCAGTATATTCACACCGCAGATTGCCGTCAGACATGACATCCCCACTGCCTCCAGCCTTCTCCTTTTTTGTAATATTCACAACCCATGTTTCACACCCATATAACATCATTGGTAACACTATACCCTTATACATTCCCCTCTTTGCTTCCATGGATAATTTTCATTGTCTCCACAGACTCCTCGGTGCTCTACTCACCTTTTTACCCTCATCAATTCTATGATTCACCTCGTCTTTCAAAGATCCATCTGTTGACAAGTCCACTCCCAAATATCTGAATACATTCACTTCCTCCATACCCCCTCCCTCCAATCTGATATCCAATTTTTCATTACCTAAATTTTTTATCCTTATCATCTTGCTCTTTCCTATGTTCACTTTTAATTTCCTTCTTTTACATACCCATCCAAACTCATTCACCAAACTCTGCAACTTCTCTTCAGAATCTCCCAAAAGCACAGTGTCATCAGCAAAATGCAACAGTGATAACTCCCAATTTGTGTTACATTCTCTACCTTTTAATCCCAAGCCTACTGCCAACAACTGGGCATTCACTTCTCTCACAAACCCCATCTATAAATATATTGAACAACTATGGGTGTGAAGCATGGGTGATGAATGCTGCAACGAGGAGAAGGCTGGAGGCAGTGCAGATGTCATGTCTGAGGGCAATGTGTGGTGTGAATATAATGCAGAAAATTCGTAGTTTGGAAATTAGGAGAAGGTGTAGGATTACCAAAACTATTATCCAGAGGGCTGAGGAGGGGTTGTTGAGGTGGTTCGGACATGTAGAGAGAATGGAACAAAACAGAATGAAATTGAGAGTGTATAAATCTGTAGTGGAGGGAAGACAGGGTAGGGGTCGGCCTAGAAAGGGTTGGGAGGGAGGGGGTAAACGAGGTTTTGTGTGCGAGGGGCTTGGACTTCCAGCAAGCGTGCCTGAGTGTATTTGATAGGAGTGAATGGAGACAAATGGTTTTTAATACTTGATGTGCTGTTTGGAGTGTGAGCAAAGTATCATTTATGAAGGGATTCAGGGAAACCGGCAGGCCGGACTTGAGTCCTGGAGATGGGAGGTACAGTGTCTACACTCTGAAGGAGGGGTGTTAATGTTGCAGTTTTATAACTGTAGTGTAAAGTACCCCTCTGGCAAGACAGTGATGGAGTGAATAATGATGAAAATTTTTCTTTTTCGGGCCACCCTGCCTTGGTGGGAATCAGCCGATGTGTTAATAAAAAATAACTATGGTGACATCACATTCCTGTCTAAGACCTACTTTTACTGAGAAATTATCTCCCTCTTTCCTAAATACCCTAACTTGAGCCTCATTGTCCTCATAAAAACTCTTCACTGCTCTCAGTAACCTACCACCTATTCCATATATTTGCAACATCTGCTACATTGCCCTCCTATCCACCCTATCATATGCCTTTTCCAAATCCATAAATGCAACAAAAACCTCTTTACCCTTACCTAAATACTGTTCAGCTATGTTTCATTGTCAACACTTGTTCTACACCCCTTACCCCTTCTAAAGCCTCCTTATTCATCTGCGATTCTGCTCTCTGTCTTGTTCTTAATTCTTTTAGAAAATAACTACCATACATTTTACCAGGTATACTCAACAGGCTTATTCCCCTATAATTTTTACACTCTTTTGTCCTCTTTGCCTTTATACAAAGAAACTATGCATGCTTCCTGCCAATCCCTAAGTACCCTTCCCTCTTCCATACATTTATTAAATAAACACCAACCATTCCAACATCTAAATTATACATTGTATACTATGCCAGGAAAAAAAAAATTAATTTAAATTTGAAACATTTGCTCTAATTAATATTGATGTTTATAAGAATGCTGAGAAAGTTAAGATCTGGAAATAGGAAATCCACTGAGCATATGAAATATAGTGGACCCCCGGTTAACGACATTTTTTTCATTCCAGAAGTATGTTCAGGTGCCAGTACTGACCGAATTTGTTCCCATAAGGAATATTGTGAAGTAGATTAGTCCATTTCAGACCCCCAAACATACACGTACAAACGCACTTACATAAATACACTTACATAATTGGTCGCACTGGGAGGTGATCGTTAAGTGGGGGTCCACTGTATATATGTATTATGGTCAGTGTTCACTTTGCAAATTGTGCAATAAACTACAACAAACAAGCACTGCCAAAACCACCACAAATTAAAATTATTCAGGTGAAGCCTTCCAGGAAAAATATTGGATAATTGAGGCACATGAATTAGTCAACTATTGTATACAAAAATAGTAGTAAATATCCATTTAAAAAACTTACTTTGCATATATGAATGTGTTTGTAATCCTTCAATTTTTCTTCTATTTGCTGCTCATTGAGTGCTGTAAGAGCCAACACTGTATTTGGATCATGCTTTGGGCCTAACACATACACCTGTGCAAAACAAATTTAATATCAGTGTTGGTCATGCTTTCTTCTTAGATTTTCAGATTTTGCCACCGAAGTGGCTAGTTTATTGTACACCCCATATCCATCCTGTGGACAGTAGCGTAAGAGCATATGGATACACAAAAGGCCTAGGAACTAGGCTCCAAAGGGTTAACAGGAGTACATATGGATTTATATTCACATATCTATATGCAACAGTTAGGTATCTTTATTTCAAAACGTTTCGCCTACACAGTAGGCTTCTTCAGTCGAGTACAGAAAAGTTGATAGAAGCAGAAGAATCTTGAAGACGATGTAATCAGTCCATCACCCTTGAAGTTTTGAGGTGGTCAGTCCCTCAGTCTGGAGAAGAGCATTGTTCCATAGCCTGAAACAATATGGAGTTGAAGTGACAGGATTGAGCCTTATATACCACCAGGAGGTGAGATGTAGGCCACTAGTAGAGGTAAGAATGAAGTCGTTGTGAGGTCAGGTCCCTCTCAAATCCAGCCATTCTCACTAGTAGTAGTCCAAGTTGATTTCAGGTCTGTACCAAGATACCCTTGTGTTGCAGTGTCTGACAGAGTGAACATTAAAATGGTATAAAATACCGACAGGTTGTTAGGTAAGACACAACGACTTCATTCTTACCTCTACTAGTGGCCTACATCTCACCTCCTGGCGGTATATAAGGCTCAATCCTGTCACTTCAACTCCATATTGTTTCAGGCTATGGAACAATGCTCTTCTCCAGACTGAGGGACTGACCACCTCAAAACTTGGACTGATTACATCATCTTCAAGATTCTTCTGCTTCTATCAACTTTTCTGTACTCGACTGAAAAAGCCTACTGTGTAGGCGAAACGTTTCGAAATAAAGATACCTAACTGTTGCATGTGTGTCTTACCTAACAACCTGTCGGTATTTTATACTATTTTAATGTTCACTCTACATGTCAATAGTTTGGAGGGATATGTTGTGTCTCTTTATATGTATATGCTTCTAAACTGTTGTGTTCTGAGCACCTCTGCAAAAAGTGATTATGTGTGAGCGAGGTGAAAGTGTTGAATGATGATGAAAGTATTTTCTTTTTGGGTTACCCTGCCTCGGTGGGAGACGGCCGACTTGTTAAAAAAAAAAGAATCTATAGTTCACTTATCTGTTACAAACAAAATTAGAAAATTTGCTTAGTATATCTAGTATCTTATTTTCATTAATAAGATATCTTGACATGTCACATAGGTTATTATACTGTCTATCTCTGTATTCCTCAATAAGTGGACAATTAAGCAAATAGTGTTCAAGAGAGTGACCATATGCCTGATCACATAATTTACATTTAGTTTGATCATCATCTGTGTCTCTCCCAAACTGCCAAAAGTACTTGTCTTCTTTAAACAGCGAATGCTGAAGAATTACGAGAAAATTTCAAGCACATGTAGAAACAAGGAGCCATATCATAGAAATCAGACTAAATTTCTGAATTTATAAATAAATATTACAAAAAGAAAAATTTTCTACTATAAAATGTATTTTTTTCTAATGCAACATTTGTATTAAAGTAAAAATTTGGAGATACCTAGGCAGCATGTTTGGCATTAATAATTGGTTACCAACGATAGATAGCATGGTAGGTAAACTGTTAACAAATGTGGTAAAACACCCAACCTCTATTGGCTGGATGATGTTTTGCTTAAGTGTGAGTTTTATCATGTGCTACAAAACACTCACAACATACTGACATAATAACCACATCACTGTGGGTAAAGAAGTGTCAGAAAGGGTTGTGATGACAGATGGAGCAGGGCTTCATGCTGTTGGGGCCAGTGTTAGTCCATATTTTCAGAGAATGTGATACACAAAAGGTGGAGCAATGCTATAAGCATCATTTTGTTCAATGGTGGTGTGTGCAAAACCAATGCTTCTAGGTACATCATCCTTAATTACCAGCTTGGCATTTTTCCACACTGAAGAGGTGTGTGTATCATCTTACTCACAGGTTACACTGCCACCACCCAGGCACTTTGTAAAAGTACAATGAATGTCACTATTCTCACATAAAAACTAGGTGTGACCTGACTAGACCCACTACGCTCAAAACTACCATCTTTTCCATCCCCATCCTCTGCACAGGATATGAAAATGTGAGTGAACCATCATGTGATACCTACACAAAAATTACAAAAAAGAAACATACTTGAAGAACCCAATAAAACCAGCAATGCATGTTACACCAAATGTAATAAATTCATACATTACATTCTGTGTAATAGTGCTAGGCCTGCTATTAAGGAAGACAACAGGACAAACAAAACTGCAGACTAGTAACTGAGGAAGATGGAACAAACAAAACTGCAGACTGGTAATTGAGGAAGATGGAACAAACAAAACTGCAGACTAGTAATTGAGGAAGATGGAACAAACAAAACTGCAGACTGGTATTGAGGAAGACAGGACAAACAACTGCAGACTAGTAACTGAGGAAGACAAGACAAACAACTGCAGACCAGTAATTGAGAAAGGCGGAACAAACAAAACTGCAGACTAGTAATCGAGGAAGACAGGACAAAGACAAGGACAAACATTTCCACCACTTTGAGGCCTATTTTAAGCAACTTCTCATCTGAAATTTACCAAAATCATCTCTATTTCACTATGTTTTCTGTTTTACCAATTGGCACCAAGAAACATCCACCCTAAAAAATGCCCTAAAGCTGTTACTTTAACCTAAACACAATGCCAGAGGTTAGTTGTTCCCATCATGCACTGAGTGGGGAAGAATTTTAATTTTTTTTTTTTTGCACAGCACACAACCATAACAAAGACCCGTTCTTTCATGTCTAGGCCAAAATTTGCTGTTCACAGCATATTCAAGGGCACTATATATGTAGATCTAAGCAATCGCGTAGATTTACACGAGTAACAGTGAGAGTTTCTGCAAATATCCCTCCTTAAATATCACAGTTTTTAAAAAGAATTACAGTGGACCCCCGGCAGATGATGGCGTCGGCATATGTTAAATCTGGCAAACGATACATTTTAACGCAAAAATTTTGCCTCACCTCACACTAAAAAACTCGCCTCACGCGATTCGTCTGAGTGCGCCTCAGCTGCCCCATGGGTGCCAGTGTTTACAAGCCAGCCAGTGCGGTTGCATCCACACACACAATCGGAACATTCATATTATCACAGCGTTTTTAGTGATTGAACCTGCAAAATAAGTCACCATGGGCCCCAAGAAAGCTTCTAGTGCCAACCGTGTGGTGTTGCTGCACCACCGTCAGCTGTTGTTGCACCACAGTCAGCTGCTGCTGCACCACGGTCAGCTGCTGCTGCACCACGGTCAGCTGCTGCTGCACCACGGTCAGCTGCTGCTGCACCACGGTCAGCTGTTGGTGCACCACGGTCAGCTGTTGCTGCACCACAGTCAGCTGTTGCTGCACCACGGTCAGCTGTTGCTGCACCACGGTCAGCTGTTGCTGCACCACGGTCAGCTGTTGCTGCACCACGGTCAGCTGCTTTTTGCACCGTAGTCTGCTGTGTTTGCTGCACACGGTCAGTGCTCCCTACAACCACAGTCAGCTGTTGCTGCACCACGGTCAGCTGTTGCTGGACCATGGTCAGCTGTTGCTGCACCAGTCAGCTGTTGCTGAACCATGGTCAGCTGCTGCTGCACCACAGTCAGCTGCTGCTGCACCACAGTCAGCTGCTGCTGCACCACAGTCAGTGCTGCTGCACCACAGTCAGCTGCTGCTGAAAACCACAGTCAGCCGCTGCTGCACCACAGTCAGCTGCTGCTGCACCACAGTCAGCTGCTGCTGCACCCCAGTCGGCTGTTGCTGCACCACAGTCAGCTTTTTGCTGGACCATGGTCAGCTGCTGCTGCACCATGGTCAGTGCTGCGGGCACCATGGTCAGCTGTTGCTGCACCACAGTCAGCTGCTGCTGCACCACCATCAGCTGTTTCTGACCAACATGACTCGTCCCGAACCTGTCCATCCAGCCCTGCTGTCATTGTTTACAAGCCAGGGTGGCCGCTTGCATGCATCATTCGATACATTTTGTATTTCCATTGTTTATAGTGCTTGAAAATGCTAATTAAGCCACCATGGGCCCAAAGAAAGCTTCTAGTGCCAACCCTGTGGCAAAAAGGATGAGAAATATGTACTATCATACCATGGTCAGCTGTTGCTGCACCACAGTCAGCTGTTGCTGCACCACAGTCAGATGTTGCTGCACCACAGTCAGCTGTTGCTGCACCACAGTCAGCTGTTGCTGCACCACAGTCAGCTGTTGTGGCCACCACAGTCAGCTGTTGCTGCACCACAGTCAGCTGTTGCTGCACTACAGTCAGCTGTTGCTGCACCAGTCCGCTGTTGCTGAACCACGGTCAGCTGCTGTTGCACCACGGCCAGCTGCTGCTGCACCACGGTCAGCTGCTGCTGCACCACAGTCAGCTGCTGCTGCACCACAGTCAGCTGCTGCTACACCACCGTCAGCTGTTGCTGTACCATGGTCAGCTGTTGCTGCACCAGTCAGCTGTTGCTGAACCATGGCGAGCTGCTGTTGCACCACGGTCAGCTGCTGCTGCACCACCGTCATCTGTTGCTGCACCACGGTCAGCTGCTGCTGCAGCAAAGTCAGCAGTTGCTGCACCATGGTCAGCTGTTGCTGCACCATGGTCAGCTGTTGCTGCACCCCGGTCAGCTGGTCCTAGTGGCATTAAAATAAGGGAAGTAACCCCGGAAAAGGACATGCTACCTAAAGTCCTAATGGAAGGGGATTCCCCTTCTAAACATTAACAACTTCCATACTCTCCCCTCCTCCCATCCCATCAATCATCACCAGATCTTCAATAAAGGTAAGTGTCAGTTTGTGTGTATTAAAATTAATATTTCATGTGGTAAAAATTTTATTTTTTCATACTTTGTGGTGTCTTGCATGGATTAATTTGATTTCCATTATTTGTCATGGGGAAAATTAATTCACCTTACGATAATTTTGG